GGAAGAGGGGGGGGGGGGGGGGGGAGGAGTTGGTGGAGCAGGAGATTAGCAACACATGCGACATGCTGAATATAGACCAACTATGTTCAGAACTAAAAGTCTAAAAGGGTATTATGACATGTAAAGTAAAGGGTATTATGACATGTAAAGTATTACACACACTCACAAGCACACATAGACAACACACCCATCCATAAATGAATACATAGCACGGAGCACTCTCTAGTTAAACTCTAAAAGAAAAGTATAACACACTTGATACACTCTCTAGTTAAAACACTAATTTGAAAGTATAACATCCTTGACACAATAAGCAGACACACAAATAAGATGCATCGTACTCAATGAGAAAAACAAGAAAGAAACATGTTTTTAAAAATAAAAAAAACCCTAAAAAGATCCTATTAATCCATGACGATACTCGAGAAAATAATGACCCATAAATGTACAGGTAGAACTCTCCAGACTAGCTATGAGCAATATTTTTTTAACAAGAAGAAACATGTGGAGCATTACATATTGTAGCTATCACATATTAATTCTTGTTAGACAGAAATTCTAAAATATTTTCTATGGACTGTGGCAGACAAGATGAATTCGAACCCAATGATATCAGAAACACCAGAAGCTACAAAGGGAAGGAGCTTCCATTCAGGTGGAAGTTAAACTTGTCAAGGGATGAGGTAATAGAAAAAATGAGGCAAGAACTTGATGTATATTAATCCATTTATTTAATCTACAGCTTTCATGCTAAAGAATATATATGTAGGTTTTCAACTTCCATAATTATGGATATTAACTAAGTAAATCCATGATGCCAAAATTAAATAACTGTAAGTATCTGACAAACTAAAACCTAGACATGTGTGTGATTTCTGCAGAAGACCACGCTTAAAGTTATCACCCAACTAGTGGCTGACATTAGCTTCTTTATACATAAAATGTGGAGTGACAGATGTTTGTATCAGAATTTTTTATGGTTAGTTGGCAAAGTTTTTGAAGCATAACCCCTGTCTCAAGGTGCAAGATCCCAGTATTGGACTGCTCTTTTTGCCCTGTTAAAGTATTAAATTATAACTCTCAACCCTCACCAAAACTTCAGAGTTTTGTTGCCATGGTACGGACTTTTAAGGAAAACCAGTACAGAAGATACTGTCTAACAGACTAGTGAAATCAACCAGTCCTTAACCTTGCTTTGCTGGTCATCCTATTTCGTGAAGTTGTGGTAAACCTTACGCAGCCTTCTTTCCCACATGCACCTATTCCTTTTTCCTAGTTTTTCACTAGGATATAATATCTCAATATTCAATTATTCACAAGTCACAAACAGCTTCATGTAAACTAGTACTAACAGAAAGCTGAACGCGGGTAACAGCTTTGCACTCTATCTACAAACTAGTACTTATGCCACAAAACCAATCATGTATAGTTATCATAGTGAACACCACAACGTTAAAATGCAAATACTGTGTGCGCTAATAATATGTGAACCCAATATACCAGATGCCACAGAATGCAAATAAGACCAATATTCTACATAAAACATGAGTATTATTCTACTGAAAAGGAAAATATTGTAATCTACTAACTACCACATTAAAATAAAAGGTAAAAAAAAGAAAGAACAATGTGTCATGTCTATAGTTAAAAGATTTGCAAAAGGGAAAAAAGGCAAGACAAAGCAAAATCTTAGTTACTTTTACAATTTGTAATTATTTGCCACATAGTCAGGGCCCAATCTTTTCAGCAAGCATATGAATTAAAATGCATCATACACAGAAACCACAATTGCTAATGTCAAGCAGTCCACAAGAGATATTTATAAACAAAACAACAGAAATGTTATCTCATCTGTTACTGGACCCAAACAGCCAAACAAAAAATGAAATAACAGAAACACCTAACAAAGTACTGTGACTATATCCAAATATAGACTTGTTAATGAACAAGAAATATTAATCAGACGAACTTGACGCATTTGCCATATATGTTATACCATAATATTACATAAGTCAAGTGTGCTAAATGAGACTTAGAATGAAGGAAAATAGGTCATCATAGGAATGAAGGAAAATACTCTCATTATAGAAAAATTAATCAACCAATATCCAAAAGGAAACAAAAAATATACCTAGCATCTTTGTCAAAGCCAAAACGTGCCCCAAAGTAAAAGGCAACAGCCAATAACCACGCATCACTGTGAACTGCAACTAATGAAATCCAGTCTTTTTCATCCATGCCATCCCTAGCAAAATTTATTCCCAATGCAGGCTCAGGAAGTTCGGGAGGAACTTCCTCAGCTGGCAGGTTGACTTCCCAAGTCTCATTGGGAAGTCCATACAAACATAGGTTCTCTTTCTCTGCAAAAACAATCAAGTTACAATAAGGATAGCAGGAACATTCACTATGACAGCATCATAAGGGAAATATAACTGTACTGCTAAAGAATTATGATTCAAGAAAAGCAATAAACTGCAGCTGACAATCTAGATTGTGCAAAAAAGTAACTTATGTTTTCAAGTAATTATAAAACTCTTGTATAGCTCTTTCTCAAGAAAATAAAAGCACTTTGCCCGTTCTCCATGAGATAAACACCATATTGTTCTCCACGTAGTAGAAAAGAAGACATAATCCATGATCATAAAATGACCACAGTTCTGTACTTGGATGACCTCTAAACAAGGATTTGTTGATAAGAGCAATGCAAGTATCTTATCATAGGTAGTCTTCCAATAGCAACAAAAATTATATAATTAACTTTCAGGCAAAATTCTCAAATAAGAGGACTCTTTGTTTCTTAGTTCACTATCTCCAACCATACATTTACACCAAGTGTATACAATCACATCACTCTGGTAATAATATCCCAACCATACATTTACACCAAGTGTATACAATCACATCACTCTGGTAATAATATCAGGATTATCGAGAGCTACTTAAAAGTAGAAAATCCATGGATAAGAGATTTACTAGTAAAACTGGTATGATCCATCATCCCTCAAATCACATGAAGTTTTAAGAGTAAAATTGGGCATCATTATATGTTGATATTCTTTATAAAAATATAAAATATGGAGAGAAATACTACTGAACAAAGCATTTCTCTTAAATTACATCATAGTTGTTGATATTGTTTGTGGAAATGTAAAAGTCATATAAAGAGTAGATATGGATAAAGAATATGTCTCAAAGCACGCCAAATCTTATGTATATGTTCAGTGCTTAGAAAATCAGCCAACATGTCCGACAAGCCACTCACAATATCGATTTGTAAGGCTTGCTACAACAAAGATTTTCTAACTCGTGTATGATTTTTGTGCAAACATTAGCAATATATCAGGACATTCCTGATATAAACAGCGGCATTTTGGATTTTCCTGATGCATCAGACAACATTGTCGGGTGAAAAAGAATGAAACGGGACAGTGACAAATCGGGCTTTGGATTAACATTTGTTTTAAAGTCAGGTTTGGGTTTAAAGCGCAACTAAACGCTACGCCTCGCCTTTCTCAAGTCTCGTCACCGACAAGGTCAGGTTGTAACCCTTTATCCTTGACTGCATGTTTTACCCTCGCCAGGCTCCTCTTTATCGATCTCTCTGCCTCTTTCTAAACTCTCCTTAGTTGTATCTCCCTCAACCTCTCTGCTCCAATAAACTATTTTTAATTTTTATGACCTAACATTTTTGTATGTCTAGAATCTCTAGCTCCATTTAAAACACCTATGATGTGCACACATTATCCAATATGCCATTCTGGTATTTATTATCCCCGATACAATCACAATATCTATCATCTAAATGGAATTATTTTGTCCAACATGAACCTGATATCTGATATCTAACATTTAAGAACACTACCTCTCATCTTTCGAAGAGTTAGTGTGTGGATTGTGAAGAGTTATATGCCAGAATAAATAGTGTCATGCAAACTAAAACAATCCATGCATACGGGTGAAGTTGAGACAGGGCTGAAAATCAAAGGGTTAATTAATTCACCTCTCTAGACAGGTTAAAAAAACAAGGCATCTAGTATACAAAAAAGTGATTATAACCTTCACCAAACAGCCACATATGCAGAAGAAACACCCTTTGTGAAACCCATCCACAACCTAGTAGATCACCACAGAGAAGCATAGGTTTAATCTAGCACTCTCAACCACCAACCACCCAAAAGATTATAGAAGTTCAAATTAAATTCTAACATCAAGAGTGAAAACTGAACTAATCTCTAAAGGAATTAACAATTTCCTGATTATTAAAATGTAAACGGTAATACAGAGCCTCTGGTTTATATTCAAAATTATTAAAAGTAATGTAAGATGCATAACTGATGAAGGAAAGGGAAACTTATCCCGCAGAGGGCCCAGGTTTAATATAATTATAATGAAGAAGGAAAAAATAGGAGCAAAATAATAGGTGGATTAAGCTGATTTGAGGATTATCATTCTGCAAATCCAGTGTACGCAATTTTCTTCTAATCAGGGTACTTATTTATTGAATTTCAGCATCTGAGCATTTGGCTACATGAATTTTTAATATCACCTTCAACTATTTATGTCATGTGCTAAAGTCAACTTCTTTGAGAAAATCATGAAACTGGATTCACATACATTAATGTTGTGATAAATTCAATAGAAAACTTATTTTGATTTGTACCAATAATTGCAAAAACACATATGACAAACCAAAATAGAAGGCCCTCCCACAAGTCATGTCATTGGAAATCCACTTCCAACTAAAAGTAACCAAACAGATCCTAAAATCCAAAACCAAAAAAAAGGAGAAAAAACACAGCAACATAAATTATAATGAACCAGCCTGATTTTCTGCGGGTCAATTAGGACATTTAAATTCAAGAGCCAGAATGCAATCCAGAACACGATGAAGCTTAAATTTGATGTAGAGCAACGTTGAGTGCATAAAGCTTTTCTTAATGGAATTGGTGGGAGTCAATTTGTACGTAATGTATTTTTACTGCTAAGGCTTGACACAATTACCTATGCCATTAGTTGCAATGTGGCCAGAATGAAGGCCCAAATTTGCAATTAAATAGAGCATCCATACAGGAATTTAGAGGGAGCAATCTTGTGACAAACTAGATATTAATTGCAACGTGGAGCTCATAAATGCCTCATTTAACAAAGCTAAGTCCAAGTTGGATGAACAGAAAAGAAAACCCAAAGGATAAATAATAACAAAAAAAACCAACAATTAAAAAAAGACATAAAAATCAATTTGAGTTTGAAACACCGAACAAAAGTGAATTATTAATGCCAATTAACTACAGAATTTAATGAGAAAAAAGTGATGGGGGGAACTGCTATTCAGCTTATCCTTGAAAAATTACATATGAAAGTGTCACAGCAGCAAACAGTAGAGTAGTCGACTTCTTTAACAATGGACTTAATAGAAGGCCCAACTCTGCACCAAATGAACAAAACATGTGCTACATTTTTTTGGTGGGTTATAAGCCACAAGTTTGACCGTGTCAAAGACCAATATACCCATCATCATTTCAGAAAATTCCAAGCTCCATTTATCACTCCCCAACCCCATTAAATGCTTTTTGGTCATTTTGACAATAATGATGGCTTATAATCCACCTATTTGCCAAACACTCTACTACTGAAAATAGATTATAATCCGCTAAATTTACCAAACACTTTGGCTTATAATCCAAATCCATATCTGAATTACAAGCCAATTGGATTATAATCCAAGCTTGCCAAACATGTTCATAGAAATAAAAATAACAAAAATATCCATATATTGAAACAAAGAACCAGCGATTCAAAGTCCAAAAATCCCAAGCAACCCTGAAACCAAAACCTAAAATTGAAACCCTCTCATAAAATAATCCAAATTAAAAAGACAAAACCAGACTCACCGGGATCACAGAGCTGATAGAACCTCTCCACATCTGAATCACCGGGGGGGAAAACAAATAAATCAGCACCAAACAAACCCTAATCCCCAACCAACATCAACAAATTCACAAACTTTTGTGCGAAAACAAAGAGATTAGGGTTACCAGTAGTGAGAGCCTTGATCATTCCGGCTCGTCTCCCCCTAAAATCCCTAAAAACCTCCTCCGCCGTCCTCGGATTGTAGGCCCCCGCTCCCCCTTCCATTCAATTAGGGCTCAATTTAGGGTTAGTGTTTACGATTAGGGTTTGCGACGAGCTTCAATTTTTGAATCGGTACAAATGAGGGGGGAGAATTTTGAGAGGAGAGAAAGGGTAAGGGTTTTGTTTGGGTTTTTTTTTTTTCCCTTTTTTTTATTTTTTTTTTTTCTGTTTTGTTGGGGTATTTATTGGTGGTGGTCTTGCGGTGAGAGAGATGTTTCGAACGGTGAGGTTACCGTCTATGGAAACTGGGCTTTCGATCTTTGCGGATGGAGAATTGAGGATCTGCTCACCGCTTTGTTGTGGACTTCACACAGTAGGTTGGAGACGGGAGAAAGGGACCAAGGGATGGGACCGAGAACAAGGGTGGTCCCCACTGATTGTTATTGTTAATAAATAATAATCCTGTGTAGCCGTAGTAGTTAATTATTTAGTGGCTGGTAAATGAATTGGGTAAATTGCAGATAACCCCTCCTGAGTACATTCAGGGGTAAATTACAGTAAACCCCTATTAACTCTCAGAAACACACTAAACGCCCAATAACTATTCGGTGTTGCAAAACATCCCCAATATGTTTCTGTATTTTGCAGATAATCCACATAAATTAGAACCAAAAAGCAACATAACCAAGCATTTTGAAAGTTATTGGGGTTTGTGTAATTTACCTAGAAGATATTAGGAGTTTTTCGCAAAAGATATTAGGGGTTTGGTGTGATTTTAAAAGTTCATAGGGGTTTACTACAAAATGCTAAAAGTTCATGGGTTTAGTGTAATTTACCATGCATTTGGTAATATTTATCATCCTTGTTTATTTTATTAGCTCTTAACATCCCTAAAATTACGGCAGAGAAGAGTTCGTATGGAGTTTACTCTTCTAAAAGTGTCAATCTAGAGGTATTAAATACTAATAAAATAGCTGAGAAATAATAAGTACTATTGAAGGCATAGGCGAGTTTGATTATCTACAATTTATGCAAAATAGTATTTGGTATAGACAGCTTATTTTATCTACAATTTATGCAAAATAGTATTTGGTATAGACAGCTTATTTTACTGGCATAAAAAGAAGCTTTAAACATATTACTCCTTTTATGCTTTTTTTGCTTTGCAAGAAATATTTAGCCCCTTTTTTGTATGTGAAGCTCATGGGTCAAACTTAAAAAAAAAAAGAACTGGCCACGATTTATTCATGGAGTTTCTTATATACTTAAAAAAAAGCTGGCCACAATTTTCCCATGGAGTTTCTTATATAGTTCTGAAAGAAAAATATAAACTTTAAAGAAGGAAGACCGAAGAAATAAAGAGGTTTCATGAATTTATAAACCTTGTTATGAACTTAGAGCACAATTATTTTTTTAAGTTTTTCATGGACTTCCATCATTGAATATGCTGAGATTTAAACTTTAAGATTAAATTATTTTTCTTCCAGAAGAAAACCATAATTCCCCTGAGAAACCTGATATCAGCTATAGCCTTTATTCACAATGTTTTCTGTATACAAACAAAGCAAAGAACTCCACCACAAATGAACCTCTGACTTAGTCACGGAAAAAAATGGTGACAATGAAAGCCAAAATCTTATCCAGAAAATCACTAGTCAAACCAAGCTCTTTGTGCCTCAGAAAGCCTTTTGGAATTGTACAGTTGACTACTAAATTCCTGAATCATCACCGAACAGCAAAAACTTCATCTAAAAAGTTGAATATCAACTAATAAAAATATGATACGAGTGATAGGATTCAACAAACTTGTGTAAATTTCAAAAACATATGAACTGAGTTGCAATTCTTACACAAGATGGACATATCAAACAACAAGGAATGAGATCAGGAGCTCTACTCTTCTATACATGTTACAATGAAGAGAGAGGTGCTGAGCTTCACAAAACTTTGACAAAAATGCAGCATTTTCCTGTATTTTCTTGAAGGGTACAAGCATTTCTCTGATAAGAATAGATACAAACAAGCATCCAAAAATTGATATATCAATATCCCTTGCTTGAGGTGTTGATTCATTGTTATACTTCACGCTCTTTTGGAATATGCCAAAGGGTCAGTCCCATCAGCCAGAGTGAGAGCGTCTGCAAGATTTTTCACCACAATAATTGTATAAGGCACTTGCATAATAAATTGTTGACAGCCACTTGGTTTTTATGAAATTATACGATTGAATTTGTAAAGCTTTAAAAACATTGCATACCAGGCAAGTCATGTAAAACTAAACAAGCGAAAGGAAAACTTGAACAAGGTATTCGTAAGAAATTAAAACATAGTTCATGGGTATGACGTCATGTAATATCGCCTGGCAAGCTTTTCGAACGATTATACACGATCAGCTCGAAATATGAAGTGAAAAGGGAACAACTAGAAATGGTACTTGCCAAAGTTAACGTAAGATGCGGCCTATATAGGACAGAAAATGGAGAAAGAAATAAAATTACGAAAGAATTTATTACATGGTTGCTTTATCACTGTTGTGGTAACTACAAATGCACATTATGGTTAACACATCCATGCGTTCAAGCTAATACTAATAAATGCTTCCTCTCAAATGTTCCACAGAGAAACAAATGAATACAGGTCTCTGCAGCTCGCGCTCTAGACCAGAAGTAGAAAAACTCTTTTATCAAGGTACCACTACAAGTTTATCAGTATCCTGAGCAATACATGAAAAAATTCCAACAGAAAATATGCACAATAATCCAGTTATGAGAAACTTCATGTCGATGATATAACTAGTAGATGAAAATTTAGCATGAAGAACATAATTTACAACATGAACCCAGAAAACAAGGGCCACAAAACAAGATGATGCAAAAGAGGTGCATCATGTAATGCGTATAGTGTGATGTATCCATAAGCTCGAAGTGAAAAACTTTGGGGTAGTTCTTACAGCTTAGTTGCTGCTTCGCGGACCTGTAAGTGGTTTCAGCTGTATCTGAAAAAATAACTCAATAGCTGCTGGTGCACCGCAGAGTGTTCTTGAAGATATTATTCGGAACTAATGGCCTCCCTTACCTGGATCAAAATTGCATAAAACAATACTATTATCAACATCTTGCAATCAATAAATCTTGGTGGTGGAAGCAATTTGCAGCCATGTTCACAAAATTTTTCATTTTACTTGAAATTTTTATCACCTTAAGTCTAACCTTCAGAGCCAACGTTTAGAAAAAGGTAATTTACACTTAGTTTAAATGCAGCAACCTTGAGTCCTCAAAATTATTAAAAGACAGTAAAAAACTTTGTTATATGACAATCAAATCACCCGTGTACCAATACCATAGAACCACAAAGTTAAGAAAATCCTACTTAGTTTATAGTGTTTTAAGTGAAAGGATGACAAAACTTAGCAAGATATGTAAGCATACCTATTTCTGTTGAATGATGAACCTCTTTTTGCAGCAAAGATTTCGTTGAAAGCATTCTGCAGTGCCCCCTTTGCGACTTTATATATCACTGCAGATGTCGCCCCTTCTTCTGCAAATCTAATGGCATCACGACAGAGATCATTGCACCGCCAATTCAAGGCTTTTAAACAATTGCTTTGAAACGCAGTGCAATGTTCATAGGATAATATGTTATCTTTGGCATTTCGGGTCCACCGCCTCAAGATGTACTCGTCAGGAAGTGTGACAATACCGACTACCAAAGAGACTCTGAAAGCATGCCTACATAAGATACCAAAGAACTCAAACAAGCCGCAAGTACAACTTATCCTTTTCTCAGTAGCACTATAAGTTACAATGTATTCTCTACTGGAATCAGCAGCTTTTCCCACACGGAATTTGCTAATCACCCCATCCTCAATTTTGTCCATCAAGAAGCTGGAAGCCTCGACGAGTTCCTCCTGAAACAAGTCAAATATCGTCCTTGTGTATATTTCCGATGCTTGTTTCTCCATAGGAGATGGAGTCTTCAAAACCGGTCGAGCACTAATTGTAGCAAAATCTGCTTGGACTTCCTTTTCGTGCTGCCCTGCCATGGCCTTATCAAACTGGGTTACGAGGTCACGCAAGGTCGTCGTTGTAATGGAGTTCCTTTGAAAGAACTTGTAAGTTGTTTCCAATTTCTGTGCACCAGGCATTTCTGCAAAAAATGTGCCTTTAAAATACGTTGGAACCCACTTTTCTCTTATATCATATAGCAACAGCAACCACATATCATCCTCTAAATTGTACCTCTCTATTAGACGCTTCCATCTCGACTCAAATTCCTCAATGCTTTCAGGCTCATTCACACATTTCTTGAACTCGCCTTTAAATGAAGGATGTGATGCATAGACATTAGATAACTTATCCTTGCATTTGTTAAATATATCTCTCTTGCAAAACCGATGACGAACATTAGGGAACACATTTGCAGCGGCCATAGCCATGGCATCATCCCATGCCGTTACAAGTGAAACTGGTCGGCGGCCACTCATCAAGGCAAGCCATGTTTCAAACAACCAAGTGAAAGAAGCTTCACTTTCATCAGTCATGAAAGCGCATCCCAACACTATAACCTGTCTATGATGATTGACACCCGTGAAAGTAGCAAATGGCACAACCCTCTTATTCTTTTTACAAGTCATGTCAAATGTGACTGCATCTCCAAAGTAGCTATAAGCCATCCTTGCTTTAGCATCAGCCCAGAACACATTTGCTACACAATTGTTTCTATCAAGTTGAATTGCATAAAAGAAGGCAGGATTCTCTGCCTGCATTTTCTTGAAATACTCCAGGAGACTTTGAGCTACACCTCCCCCTGGCCCAAGCCCGTTTTGCTGTGACTCTGTAGTAGAAGCTGGGCGAATTAGTTCCCAAGGTTTCTTGGCTAGCTTCTTTTGTGCAGAAAGGGAGGGTTTCGAAGCAATTCCTAGAGGATGGCAGTGTTCGAGAACACACCTTGATATAGACCACCTGCCATTCTCACGGCGATTGACCTGAAGCATAGTCACAGTTTTGATCAAAAGAAAATCAACTAACAGGTATTATTCGTGAAACAATTACACAAACAAAACCTGGCAATAAATTCTATATCTACTAGAACAAGCACATACACTGGCACTCAGCGATTGATCATTTCCTATGACAGATATATATTTCAATGCACAAGCAACAAGTTAAATATCTCAATGAGCACCCTAATACATAAACTTTATTAGGTTTCATGAACTAATTTATATGAAAAGATAATTCAGATAATCACCAATCTAAAGGAAATTCTTAATAATTGGTGTACCTAAAGAGGCATTGCGACAATATGAAGAACACTTTTGTAGTGACTCGAGCGGGCAATACAAAACACAAGGGCAGAGAGACATGGTTGTTGTTCTGTAAAAAAACTTCGTAGTAAAAAGTTTACAAATATTACATAAAGATCTAAAGTTACTTAAACAACTTCCAGCACAAAAAAGGACCATGGAAAAAATATTCCAGCGCTAACAAGTATCATCTATGTTACCATTCCATGAGAGAAAAGTTCATATATATGAAGTTTCAATAGCTAACGTTTCAAATTTAAGTATCTTAATAGTTCAAAGAACATAACTACTACAATTACCTGCATCATGGCTTTGCAACCCTCCCGTGATGAAACACGGTTCCTCCTCTTCTTCGTGAGATCAAAGGGGTCCTTCTTTGTAGGCCTCCCCTGCTTCGAACACACAAACCTCCGCATAATCACAGTGTCATCAACTCTCGAAGTGAACGACTTGCTATTCCGAACCCTGAAACCAGCCTGCTCAGCATAAGCGGAGTAAAACGCCCGGGCAGCATCTGGAGACTCAAACTCCAACCCAAGTATGGGTTCTTGAATTTCACCAGAAATTTTCAGGTTCCCCGATTCCTCCATTGGCCCCTCGGCCATTGACCCAGACTTGCGAGCCACTGATTCAATCATGACCTCATGCCCATCCATATGGGGTTGTTGGGTATCAGAGCTCTGTGCCATTGATTCAATGGCGATATCACGTTCATCTAATTGAGATTGTTGGGATTGGATTGATATCATGGGTTCTACTTCCTCCTCTTCTTCGTGGGGATTATGGAATTCCATTTGTGTAGTTAATGTAATGCCCTCCATTAGTGAAATAATCTGGTAACTAACAAAAATACCGCATTTTAATGGCTACTACCCAAAGACTTTGAATTTTAGCTCACTAAAAAAAAGGAAAAAAAATAGGGAAAATTTTAACCTTTTTTGCCTGAATCGTTGAAATGAAACAATTAGGGTTTAAAAAACCCCTTTTATAGTTCCATCGAATTATTAACCTGGAAATCAACATAAATTACATAAAAATGAGCATCAAAGCTTAAAAAATTGGAAAGAATCAGCAGATAAAGGCGGAACTAAAGAGGGCAGAATGAAACCCTAAAACTTACAAAATTTCCACATCGAGTGACCTTCTGAATCGAGCAAAACTCCTCAATAATCACTAGATTACTAAAAATTGGGGGCGAAATCTCTCAATTTCTTCTCAAAATTCAGCGATTTTTTTCTCTCTCTAACCCTAACTTGCGCCCCGCGACTAAACTTTATCACGTGAACCGCGACTCGAGTTAACTTAACCAGAGCTAGCAACAATCTGAACCGTTCAGCTGACCGCACAGAACATGGACGGTTCAGATTGGATGAGCATTTAAGTGGGGCCCGCGGGATTTCGTGAAGGGTGAACAGAGATCAGGATAAGGTAAAGAGGAGGAGGGAGGAGCACCGGAATTGTTTTAGCTCTGGTCGGAGAGTTGGCCGTTGGAGTTCTCAGTCTGAGACCTAGCAAGTAATTATCAATTATATTCAAGTTTTAGTTTGAATTTGGAAATAATGAAGAATTAAAAATACTTTTCATAATTCAGATACTCGTAAGCTTTTCAAGAACCTTTTTTACATATGAAATGTTTTTGAAAGATGTTCTCCTATCAATAATAACTAAATCTTTTCCAAAACTGTCTTAAGTTTGTCACACAACAAAATAAATTTTGTTGTTCTATTAAATTTTGTTTGTAATGTTAAAAGAAATCAAGTTATTGCATATAGTGTTGGTACCGGGACCAATTTCTGCTTGGACAATTTTTGAAAACCAACATGTTTTGAATCTTAATCTCAAAAAAAGACTTGTTTTAAACTTAATTTCAAAAACCGATCCAGTTAGCTGAAACTAGGTCGATTTTTTGAAAAAAAGTTCCCAAACTTCACGGGAGTTGAAGTCCCGTGAAGTTTTTTACGTAACAAAACTTCACGGGACTTCAACTCCCGTGAAGTTTGAGAACGTTTTTTTCAAAAACCGACGCGGTTTCAGTCCAACTGGGTCTGTTTTTGAAATTAAGTTTAAAACAGGTCGGTTTTTGGGATTTTTTGGCAAAGAAGTCTGTTTTGAAAATTTGTCCATTTCTGAGAATATAAACTTTCAATATATAAAGTATAAAGTGAAAAATGACTTAATTTTTGGACAATTTTTTTTCTTTTTCTTTTTTCCTTATGAAGGTTAATATCAAGGCCGAGGAGTAATCTTCCAAAACTTCCTTTTTCTTCCTCTTTTTCTTAAAATGAAGGTTGAATTCTGAACTTAAACACGTACGATTATTTCTATTTTATATTTGAGCTTTTTTTTCCCAGGACATCTAGCTTGTTATTTCTTCCAAATTACAATTTGCACATTCAAAGAACCTGCCATGTAAAAAATATATCTGCTATACATTATTCGTCATGATTATCATATTTTGCAGCACCCAACAAACCTCTCTGTGAACACTTCAGCCACACTTATATTAGCTCGATTTCTCGATGAAAACTCTACTTAAGTATATACACTCATATTCAATACGGCCAGCAGAACTTTACATTGGAAAATACATCTTCTATAAATACTCTGAAACTATAGTTATGATACATTACACCCAATAAGTATCTCTTTGCAAACCCTTCCAGTACATCTACACTCCGATAAGTAGTTTTAACATGATAACTCTAATAGATATGCATGCACTGATGCACACATATATTCAGCCGGATTCGACGATAGAGTAGGGCTAATGTACGTTTGATGTGCATTTGCTTGGCTGAAGACTATTGCCTGTCTGTCGCAGTGTGTATTTGAGGTGTTAAAGATCGAAGCTGTGGCTGTTAAAATGGAAGACTGGTCGATTCCGCTTGGCAGTCATATTCTGCAATCTGCACTCCCTTGCGACGCTAGTCTGAAGCCCAGGGGGTCCACAGACAATTACGCCAACATTAGCATGGCCAACTTGCTCTGCAAAGGAATTGAATATATCTGCAAAAATGGGAGAAATAGAGAGTATTACTCGAGGGATGTACAAGAAAAGTAGGGTCGATTAAGTTCTGCACACCGGGGACGTGGACCAAAACAAAACCAGTTTAGGTCATGGTTCAGGTTTTATCAAACTACGGCCAGGACTTAAACTGGATTGCTCCACTAAACTACTATTAAGTGGAGTTGCCAAATAGGCCCTTAGAGTGCAGAAAAATGGCAATATTTGTAGTCACTCATCAGTATACATTTTTTAAGTGTATTAGATTTTTTAAATTTATCCTTTCACCATGCCATACATGTAAGTATGGTGGCATATGCTGCATTGAGGTAAAGCATGTGCTAACTGAGATTCATTGAGAAAGTACGACGACTAAAGTAGTAAGAATCAAATTTTACCTGCAAAATCAGGTCTACATCCATATCGAATTGTCTGCGAGCTTGCGAGATTTGCCCTATTAGCTTTCAACAAGCTGCTCTTCTCATCATCAACAGTCCCTTTCTCATAGCTTGAGTTCCTTCTTTCCCACTTATTCCAGAAGAATATAGTAACACCTCCAAGTATAATAACACCCATAACCATGGATATGATGAACAAGAGACCCTTGTACCACCAAGCAGTTATTTTGTAAGGTTGTATGTAATAAACTTCCATCAAACCGAACAATGCAATGAAGCCGAGAGTAGATACAGTAAAGTAAATTCCAGACCACACATTATTCCCCGTGCCAACCAAACACGACATGGAATTTCCATTCATCACCGAGAAGAAGAAAGAGTCGGTGTTCCCTTCGATCTTACCTTCTTCCTGTGAATGTGTCAAGAAATAAGTGCAGTTTATTTTGGTGGATGGAATTTAAGAAAATAAATTGAATTTAGATTTAATTGCAGATAGACCGCCTGTAGGGTCGCTGTTTTGAACTTAGTACCCCTGAAGTTTTATTGTTGCATATATACACACTGAGTGAACCTTTTTCTTATTATCTGCAACAATAAAACTAGAGGGCTAATAAGTTCAAAATAGTGAAACGACAAGGAGTCTCTCTGCAATTAACCCTTTGCATTTAATTGTGGAATTAGTAAGGTACCAGTGAAGGCTCGGATTCTTGAGTTACATAAGTTTGGATATCAAGATTCATTTTATCAAAATCTGAAGAGCTAAGAGATTGTGCATTGACTGCTGAAAGAAGAGAGAGTTCCTTAGATTTTTTAACAGCCCATACAATCAACACATTCTTTGGTAAGCAAGGCTTCTTCTGCTTAACTCGATGCATTATGTCGCTCAATACAGCCAAGAACGGTGAGATTCCAATGCCTCCAGCTACAAGAACGAGATTTTCGTACCTGAGAGCACAAAGAGATTCAATTAGATTTAACAATAGCAATAATGCAAAAAAATTTATCAACTTGGGAAGGTAAAGAAGTAATAATTACATCAAATGGTAGGGTGTTTCATGCCCGTAAGGCCCTTCAACAGAAGCTGTCAACCTCCAAGATTTGAAGTCCTCCTGAGTTTTCTCAGGGAATTTTGAGGTGATATTCCTTAGCTTTTCTGTCCATTCTCCTAGTACTTTTATTAAAACAGATATATGGTTTTTACCCTCCAAAGGACTGGAGGAGACACTGAAGGGATGCCACTGTAGCCAAGATAATTCTCGTACTTGGACAAAGATAAAACTGAGAGCATTGTACCTTAGATCTGCAAGGATAATGTGAAGAATGTGTTACAAAATATATTTCAACTTCCTGCGAGATAAAAATAAGGGTAAATTTCTCAAAGCTCTCCTTAAGCTTGGCTGTTTTTGAGCTAACCCCTATTCTCTAGAAACGACAATTAACCTCCCTTAAGTTTTCTCAGATAACCCCCTAACTAACACTGTAAGACCTGACTGTGCACGTTAAAATCACGAGCACCCAAATGACCAAGGTGCCCCTGATAAAAAAACACCTTTCATGTTCTTGCAAAACTTTAACATAATTTTCACAAGACTCTCTTTAAGTTTGACAATTCATTAATGCTTAATTAATTACTTAGTAATTAATTTACAATTTAGAGTGTTAATTTAAAAGGGGTATTTTTGGTCTTTTTACAAGTTCATCCGACATCGTTAGGCCTGGTAGTTGAAGGTTTTGAAAACATTTAGGGATTTTTTGAAAACCCCCAAACTTAAGGGGATTAACTAACATTTTTAAATATTTGTTTTTTTTTTTTTTGTGGTGGTGGGGGGGGTTTTTTGTTTGAAACAAAATCAACCAAACCTAAAGGTGTTTTAAGTTTATCCCGAAAGTAAACATTAGCATAGCATATAGAGGGATCAAGATAACGTACTCTTTGGCTTTGAGAGGATCAATTCCACACTTCCACAAGGGCGGCATGATGCTGAAATGACGTCGACTTTAGTCTGTGACTGACAGAATCTTAGAAAACGGTCGAGCATGAAGAGAAATATGGCTCCGGCTGCCATGCTGAAAATGAAGTCTCCGACATGGAGCGCTAAGAACACTATGAAGATGATATACAATTGATGGGTGTAGAAGAACAGCTCAAAATAGTTCTTTCTAACCGTGTGAAATGATGTCACCCACATCAGTAAACCAGCTGCAAGGCTAATAACTCCCGGGAGATTTGCAACACCGATATCTTTCCATTCAAGAAGCTGTGTGTAAAAGACAAAGAGTCATTAGAATGATCAGAAACTGTAATTTACGACGAAAGCCTAAAAGGGACCTGACATTTATCGATCAAAGTCATTGGCATCTCTTGTGTGGTCAATCTAAAGTAACATTTTGATTTATACAGTGGATTCTGAATTTCATAGGTGAAAGGTTATTCTAAAGAAACATTAGTACTAATAACGTGAATCAAATTTTCTAGTGATAAGGTTTATATAAAATACTAATATGAATTTTGCAGGAGGTAATATATCAGTTAGCATACTCACTTCGCGAGTGAGCTTGCCTTCCCACGACCATGCGATCACATAAAACAAGCCATGCAATGTGAAGAGAACCATCGTAAGATGTCCAAGCCAAACATGATATCTGGTAGCATGCTCAAATGGAATATCTATCAAACGAAGAAGAACCGACCCCCTTGCAACTGGCAAAAAGAGAAACACCATGCAGAATAATCCAATTGATCCCAACCTTAGCCCGATAATTTCCAACATGAAAATGCTGCAAGTTTAGAGTTTCAAGCCTTAGGAACAGAGTAACAAAAGCACAACGGCATCTATGAAGAACGAAACATTGGAAATAAATTTAACCGTATGCATTTTAATAAGACGAGACAACCTATCAATAAGGGTTTGCAAAGAATGGTTCTTGATCCAACTAATTGAAAACTTTACATACCTTTTCATTTTTGAAGGCAGGGAGAAACCCGATAGCATGTCATGGCTTTGTATTATATAAGCAATTATATTCCAAACAATATATGCAGAAAACAGGAGTATTCCAATCAATTCTGCAGCTGAGACAACACCAAAGGGTCCGTCAACAAGGACAGGAAATGTCCACAGACGAAACCTTGGAAATTTTGTATTCTTCTTCCTGGTATTTAAATCTAGCGTATGAGAACATGAGATATATAATCTACATGAAGTGTATTGTTAAGTATAGGAGTTTCATACTCAAAATTGTCACTTGGGAAAGCAATTATGTATAAAAACGCCAGAAATGCGATAATGAGTATTGGAGCGCCAAATCCAAGAAATATACTTCCTGCAGTTTTTCAAAGGGAATAAAGATCACTCAAATTTTAAGCAATTGCATATCCAAAAGAATAAACTCCAAGCCTTTAACAAATACAGATCAATATAGGTAATACCTGTGATCCCAAAAACTGGCCCTTCAGTTAATTTGGTCCATTTAGACAACAAACTCTTTGCGAATTCAGTCGGAAAGAAAAAGATAGCACAAACCCAGATTATGAAAATTGCCCACATCGAAGATTTTAGAATCCATTTAGCCAAATTTAGGAAAGTGGAGGTTCTCTCTAAATATCCATGCTCAGGTTCTACTTTCGATAGAAGAGGTTCATGAACCGAGAGCTTGGCCATTGTATGCAAACAATATTGCAGGAAGGCTCCTGGTTATGTCTTTTTTTTTCGATGGCTTCACTTGTTTTTTATAGATCAAAGGCTTAAAGCAATGGATCCCAATAATCAAGTCCCATTCAGATATATGTGGACCTATCGACAGTGATGAGTAACAATTTATAGGACACAAAAAAATGAAAGATTTTTCAGGAAAAAAATCTAGTGGCTGAAGGCATACTTCAAGTGATGAATAAGCCTACTTTTGTTTGTTTTTATTTCTCAAAAAAAAAACTTGCCTTCAGGTATCGATATAGACAAGCACACTATGTATAAGGTTATTGGATTAAAAAAACAAATTTAAACAGTGCAAATTACTGATAATTCCTTAAGCAATTGAATTCTATGGTATTACAAGGAAAATAGGGTAAGATAATATAAAGGAAACAAAGAACCCTCTCATTTTATCCCAAATCTATGACTAGCATCACACACTTACATTGGTTCTTTCAAGACATATTAACACATTCACTTCCTCAATTTCACACCAAATTCCATTATCTCAATTGCCATCAAAAGCCTAAAATCATGTGGATCCTATTAATCTAAATCACGTTCAGTTATACGTGAACCTATCAACAGACGAAAACAAAAGAAAAATTTTTACAGGAAAAAAAACTTGTGGCTGAAGAGTATACTGCAAGATATACATAATATTAATTTTGTTTTTATTTCTCAAGGTATACCTTCAGTTATCCATATACACATATGCTATACAATTATTGGATAAAACTACTGAAAATTAAAACAGTGCAAACACCAATAATGCCCTAAATTATTGAACTCCATAGTACAAGGAGAATAGGGTAATTAAGATCAAATAAAGGAAAATTATAACCCTGCCATTTTACCCTGAATCTATGAATAGCAACAAACTTCCACAAAACACTGACAAAATTTGAACCCGAGCATTGTAATTAAACCCAATCACCCATTACCCAATTTTCTCTATTGTCTCCAATGTACTCTAATGGGCACAACAGAAATTCCAAAAAAAAGGGCAATTAAATGAAATGGGCAACAATAATATATCATCCTCTACATATTTTTTGTGAAGTAGAAGATTACCCATGACCCAAAATTCAACCACCATTGAAAATCAAGTGGCCCACAGTAGAGTTATCCATCGCTTTGGATGAATTGAAGTTTTTGGAAATTTAATTAATGAGACGAAGATTGGCAGAGTACTAGGAAACACAGCTAGTAGAGTAACAGAGAAGGGGAAGGTACAAAATTCTCAGGGGGTTGATGGGCCCACCTCAGCCTGTAGTGGAGATCAAAAGGCCACAATAGTTTTGGAGAGATTGTTGAGAAATAATGGTGATAGTCTCCTGTCATCTCATCTACCTGACAAGATTTTGGAGAGATTCCTGATAAAGACAGTGGATGGATTTTTCCTGTCATATCATCTCTGAGAATTTTTCATATCTGTGGCTTTCAATTTCAAGTATGTATTCTCCTCAAAAAAATTCAATGTGTATTTTAATTAGTGGAGCAAAGTTCAATTTGTTTGAAGATTTTTCAGACCTGTAGTCTTCACAGCAAGTCATGAATATTGCAAGCACGCAGGAGACCACATGTATGGTAAGCCTTGTCAATTCTTTGCCTGATCAATTGGATCAACTCGAACCCGATCCCGCTAAATCCAAGTTTGGGTATAGTTAAACGGGTGCGGATCAAAGTCGAGTCAATCCAACTAAACTATAAATAGTATGGACTACAAGCTTGACCGATTCAGTTGAACTATTTAAAACTGGTACGGGGTTGATCCATAACTCGATATGATTGCAATCCATTAAAATTTAGAATATGGAGTGACACACATCTCTCCCCTTTGCAATTTAAATCATTGATATATTCATATCATACTTTGAGGGGTTGGGTATGCGCAAAAGCAGTGATAAAAACAACTGCGGAAAAAGATATTTGATGTATGCGCTTACATATAATAAAAACATATAAACTGCCTCGATACATACCGAGAAATAAATGGATGTGAATCTCTAATCCGTCTAATTTCATGATAAACAAGTTGGACAGGTTACATGTGGTTTGATAATGGGTATCCAACATTATTTTTGACTGCATGAATATATTATATGCTGAGAAAGGTATAAAAGAAATTCACTGAGGTGGTCTATGTGAACGTGGGGGTCACACCCACGAGTGTGGACATGTGCAGCGGGCTCAGGGCCCACCCAAGATACATGTATAGCAATACATGTATCTCCCAAAATTGGGTCACACCCGAGACAACCCAGGTCCGATTCTTCTCTTATAAATATCCCTTCTTCGAGGGTTTTGCAGTGGTTTTTTTTTTTGGCGGCTGTGTGAGGAAAAACAACGGAGAGCTTTTTCGGCTGCAGAGAAGAAAACAGAGAGTTTAGTCGGCCTTTTTTTAGGAGTTTTTCAGGAGGCTTAGATTTAAGATCTTGAAGAGAGAAAAAGAGAGAGCTTGGAGGGATTTTACAAGAGAGATGTTAATTTTTTTGGGTAAAAATCATAGCTTTATCTTTGAGACGAGCTTGTGGAATATACAAGTCGTCGGTGTTCTCCTCATAATAGTGGAATCTCCCCTCATCCCTCCTGTGGACGTAGGCAAGTTTGCCAAAACACGTAAATCTCGTGTCTTTACTATTTTCTGGATGTTGGCTATTGATTGTAGATTCCCTCGATAATTCAGTCAAATAACTGATGAGAGGAAGAGTGTATATCTCACTTTGTTGAGATATTTCACTTTCTATTCTTGTTTCATTTGTGAAACGGGAATATAGATGTTGGCTTAAGCTTTTGTGAAAATAAAAGCTAGGGCTTTCTTTCAGGTTATATCGCTTCCGTGGCATGAGGACGTATCTCTGCGCCCAACAATTGGTATCAGAGTCCTTTATTCAGATTGGAGGTGGTAAAATTTCTGATCTGAGGTGGTGCTTAATTATTGTGTGGTGAACACAAGGTATTTGTTGGAATTTCTAAAGCGGATTTATTAATACAAGCAGAGAATTGTGTCAACAAGTAAAACAGTTAAAGTTGGAAAGTACGAGATCGAAAAGTTCAATGGGAAGAATGATTTTTTCTATTAGATGATGCAGATGAAAAACTCGTTGATTTCACAGAAATTACACAAGACTTTGACTGAAAGGAGAAGAAGCACAAGTATATGTCTGATGAGGATTGGGAGGAGCTAGATCTTAAAGCACGGACGTCGATTATCCTATGCCTTGAGAGGGATGTAGCTTTCTTGGTAGATGGAGAGGAAACAGTTGCGGACGTGTGGTCGAAGTTAGAGAGCACATTCATGACGAAGAGTCTAACGAACCGAATTTATTTAAAATCCAAATTGTATATTTACAAGATGGAGGAGGGCTCATCAATTCGGGAATACATCAACAAGTTCGATAGGATAATATCGGATCTGAAGGACATCAATGTAATTGTAGAAGACGAAGATCAGACTCTTCTACTACTTCCATCTCTACTGAAGTCTTATGAGAACCTGGTACAAACACAGATGCTTGTGGGAGACAATTTGACGATGGATGAGACTAGAATGGTGCTTTTAGAGGATGATATTCGGAAGATTACAACCAGTAATATGACTACTGGTGGTAACAAGGAACATGCACAGGGATTGTTTGCTAGAGGAAGGGGCAATGAGCGAGGAAAAGGCAAGGGAGAAAAGTCTAGATCTAAATTAAGATCTCTTACGGGAAGATCGTGTTTTAAATACGGTGAAGTTGGGCATTTCAAGGTCGACTGTCCAAATAAGAGAGTAGGTGGGAAGAAGAACAACAACAAGACTGAGAAGAGAGAAGGTAAGGAAAAAGCGAGCTATGTTTTAGAGGAAGGGAGCGAGAAGGAATGTTATGTCATCACGGGTGGCCATGATATCTCCGGGAAGTGGATTCTTGATTCAGATTGCTCTTACCACATGTGCTCAAATAGGAAGTTGTTTACTACCTACAAAAACATTAATGGTGAAACCGTATTGATGAGGAACAATCACGCTTGTAAAACAGTGGGGCTAGGTAATATCAAGATCAAGATGCATGATGGAATGGTCCGAACCTTGATGGATGTGAGACACGTTCCCGACTTACGGAAGAATATTATCTCAGTTGGTGTATTGGACTCCAGTGGTTGTAGGATTGTTATAGAGAACAGAGTGAAGAAGGTTGTTCGGGGTTCCTTAGTAGTGATGAAAGGTGTTCGTCACGGTAATTTATACGCTCTCTCAGGTACGACTGTGACGGGAGATGCAGCAGTTAGAACTAAAGGAAGTGATGGAGACCTATGTGAGCACACACGGTTATGGCATAGGCGGTTTGGGCACATGTCAGAGAAGGGTCTGGATATGCTTGGTAAGGATGGTTTGCTGAAGAATATGAAGAAACCTTACATGGACTTTTGCGAGGATTGTGTGTACGGAAAGGCGCACAGTGTCAAATTCTTGAAAAGTAATCATAAGAGAAGAGGTATATTAGACTATGTGCACACATATATGTGGGGTCCGGCTCAGATAACTTCCAAGGGTGGTTCCGGGTATTTTATCTTGTTCATAGATGATCATTCGAGGTATGCTTGGATTTATTTTCTTAAGCATAAGAATAAGATATTCGAGATATTTAAGAAGTGGAAGGCGATGATTAAAAACAGGATATGGAAGAAATTAAAGACATTAAGATCTGACAACGGTACAGAATATACAGATGATGCTTTCAAGGAGTTCTGTGATCAGGAGGGCATTACTAGACACTGGACAGTTAGATCTACACTACAATAAAATAGGATCGCGGAGAGGCTGAACCGAACATTGCGGGAGAAAGCAATGAGTATGCGATCTTATGCTAGATTGGACAAGAAATGATGGGCAGAAGTGGTGGCTACAGCTTGTTATATTGTGAACCGTTCTTCACATTCTACATTGGATGGTGATACACCCTATAGGGTGTGGTCATGGGAGCATGCAGATTATGAGAGGCTCCTAATTTTTGGGTGTACCCCCTATTATCACATCAACGAGGGAAAGCTTGATGTGAGGGCCAAGAATGCTATATTCTTGGGGTATGCAAAGGGTGTAAAAGGATATCGTCTTTGGTGTACAGAAGATTCAAAGTTCGTGATCAGTAGTGATGTTACCTTTGATGAGAAATCCATGATTGCTAGGGAGCCCAAGGATATTGGTGTTAAGACTGTGGAGACTTCAAAGTATCATGTTATTGAGATAGAACCTAAAGACCAACCAGGTTCTAGTCATGTTCAAGTGAAAAATCAGGTAGATGATGAGTTTGAACATGAAGAGGTTTAGCAGGAGAATACACAATTACTACAACAATAGCAGCTCGAGGATAGCTTGGCTTCCACTAGGCCAAGACGAGCATACAAGCAGGTACTGAAGCTAGGGGCTAATCAACCCCTGAAACACTATGGGCAGGTTAATTTGGTGGAATACGCACTCTCGGTGGAGGATGATGAGTCGGTCTCCTTCAAAGAAGCTATTCGAGATAGAGATAATGAGAGTTGGTTAGCTGCGATGGAGGAGGAGATGGAATCTCTTCGGAAAAATCAAACATGAGAGGTGGTCCTATTGCCTGTAGGAAGAAAAGCTATTGGTTATAAGTGGATGTATAAGAAAAAGGAATATCCTTTAGAGCTCAATGGTACAAGATACAAGGCGAGGCTAGTGGCTAAAAGGTTTGCACAAAGAGAGGATGTGGATTACAATAAGATATTTTCTCTGATGGTGAAACACACTTCTAGTCGGGTGCTATTAAGTATTGTTGTTCATGGTGATCTTGAGCTGGAACAACTCGATGTAAAGATGGCCTTCTTGCACGGAGACTTGGATGAAGAGATCTATATGCATCAACCGGCCTTCTTGCACGGAGACTTGGATGAAGAGATCTATATGCATCAACCTGAGGGCTACAAGGTTGAGGACAAGGAGAATCATGTGTGTCGCTTGAGGAAGTCACTCTATGGACTGAAACAATCTCTTCGGTAGTAGTACAAGCGATTTGACTCCTTCATGCTGAAGCATGGGTTTTCCTGAAGTGATTATGATTATTGTATTTACATTCGGAAGCTTCGTGGAGGTGATTATATCTATCTTATTTTCTATGTGGATGACATGCTTATTGCTTTAAAGAGCAGGGTGGAGATAGATAGACTGAAATCTCAACATGATAAAGAGTTCGAGATGAAGGACATGAGCGCTGTAAGGAAAATATTGGGTATGAAGATTAGAAGAGAGCGGGCAAATCGACGATTGTTCTTGAGTAAGAAGGGCTACATAGAGCGGGTGATCGCGAGGTTCAGGATGCAAAATGCAAAGTTGGTGATGACTCCATTGGCTTTACATTTTAGGCTTTCAGGTAAACAATCTCCTATTACAGCGGAAGATAAGGCACACATAGAGTGTGTTCGTTATGCTAGTGTAGTTGACAGTTTGATGTACGCCATGGTGTGTACACGCTCGGATATTTCACAGGCGGTCAGTGTGGTCAGCTGATTCATGGCGAATCCGGGAAAGGCACATTGGGAAGCAGTGAAGTGGGACCTGAGGTACTTAAAGGGTACTGTTGATACGATTCTGTGTTTTAGTGGAGATACATGTCAGATTGATGGGTTTGTTGACTCAGAGTATGCGGGCGATCTAGATAGACGACGATCTACTACTGGTTATGTATTCAGAATACATGAGGCTCCAGTTAGTTGGCGATCAATGTTGTAGGCTACAGTGGTACTTTCTACTACAGAGGCCGAGTATATGGCCATGACGGAGGGAGTGAAGGAAGCATTGTGGGTGGGGTCTTCTAGACGATCTAGGGTTTGAGCAGGAGAACGTGAACTTGTGGTGCGACAGTCAGAGTGCGATTCACTTGGCAAAGAATCAAGTTCATCATGCTCGTACCAAGCATATCGATGTCAGGTATTATTTCGTGCGGGATGTCATAGAGGAAGGTGATATTTCTCTCATGAAGGTGCACACAAATAAGAATCCCACAGACATGTTAACCAAGGTGATCACATGTAGTAAGTTTAAGCATTGCTTGGACTTATTTTATGTCAGCCCATGTTAATTTGCCCAAGAGGGCATGGCCCTTCGGGGCGGTGATGGGGTGAGGTGGAGACAATTATTTAGAGAACAATCGCAGAACTACGGTTAGCTTGATCCAGGTGGAGGGTACGTAGGCAGCCGCGGTATAGTGGCGCAGCTGGTTTGGCCTGGTTTGGTGGTTTCAGATTTCTCTGGTGATGTTCGCGGTGTTCTTCTGGTGTTCGTCTAAAATTTAAGGTTTATCAAATGATGTACGAGGTGAAGAATTGTGAACGTGGGGGTCACACCCATGAGTGTGGACATGTGTAGCGGGCCCAGGGCCCACCCGAGATACATGTATAGCAATACATGTATCTCCCAAAATTGGGTCACACTCGAGACAACCCAGGTCCGATTCTTCTCTTATAAATATCCCTTCTTCGAGGGTTTTGTAGTGGGTTTTTTTGGCGGCTGTGTGAGGAAAAACAACGGAGGGTTTTTTCGGCTGCAGAGAAGAAAACAGAGGGTTTAGTTGGCCTTTTTTTAGGAGTTTTTCAGGAGGCTTAGATATGAGATCTTGAAGAGAGAAAAAGAGAGAGCTTGGAGGGATTTTACAAGAGAGATGTCAATTTCTTTTGGGTAAAAATCATAGTTTTATTTTTGAGATGAGCTTTGTGGATTGTACAAGTTATCGGTGTTCTCCTCATAGTGAAATCTCCCCTCACCCCTCCCGTGGACGTAGGCAAGTTTGCCGAACCACGTAAATCTCATGTCTTTACCGTTTTCTGGGTGTTGGCTATTGCTTGTAGGCTCCCTCGACAATTCAGTCCTAGAACTGATGAGAGGAAGAATGTATATCTCACTTTGTTGAGATATTTTACTTTCTATTATTGTTTCCATTGTGAAACGAGAATATAGATGTTGGCTTGAGCTTTTGTGAAAATAAAAGGCATGGCTTTCTCTCAGGTTATATCGCTTCCGCGGCGTGAGAACGTGTCTCTGCGCCCAACAATCTATTTGAAAAAAAAAATAATAAAACTATATATGGTCTCTTTGCAATGGGTGATCCTATAGGGAGTTTGTTCTCAATTTACTTTTTTTTTTAAAATTAAGATAGGTCAATGAGTACTGCATCAACCTTACTATCATCTTCTGCACGAGATAGTGACAAAAATGTCTGAGGACTACATTTTCAAATTTGCGCCCAACATTATTTTTGACAGCATAACTATTATTGTTCTACAGACAAAGAAACTGCTACTAGGTTGCATGAGTAACAAGTACCAGTTACTTTGATAATTGTTATTAATTATTAAATTCTTGGAAAACAGTATTTAACCTACTATTTATTATTACTTCTCTGAAATCGGTACATCAAATTCCGGATTCATACGAGAACCCTTTAAACAAAGGGCTTTTTTTTATTTTAGTCTCTCATATCTTCAATATTTCCAGTTAATCCCTCAAATTAGTGCAATTATTATAAATACTCCAATTCCTACATATTGCTATTGCTACTTTTGATTCAGGGGATAATTTTAAGACAATTTATAAGAACCCCCCTTCCCTTACCCCTTCCCCGTCCCCTCCTCCGTGTAACAACAGCTTTAATGGTTTGATTAGCTAATTTTGAGAAAACTCATAAGAACAAGGACCTAATAGTAATTTCATCATATGAGGAACTAATTCCAAGGTAATCAAGCTTTAGGGGACTAATATCGAAAGAAATACAACCCTTAGGGGTTGTTTGGATCGGTTTTTTGGATGAGTAAAAGGGGAAAAAGCTGCCAACAATGTCAGTTTTTTGGCAGCTTTCCCCCAAAATCGCCTCTTATTAGCCTCTATAAGACACAGCGCGATTTTGGCGGGAGAACTGCCCAAAAATGCTGACATGTTGGCAGCTTTCGCCATACTTTACCCATCCTAAAAACCGGAACAAACGGGGCCTTAGTTGTGTATCAATGAGTACTTTTTTTTGGATTAATTGCTAACTGACTCCCTACCGTATCACCCAATCACAAAAAGACCCGTATTATTCTATTTGATTTCGAATAGGACTTCCTATAATTTTGCTTGTTGCGAGTAGATCTCTTATGATATTCGCCCAAATGCGAATACATACGTTAGCGAACTTTTTCGACTCTTTTAAAAATATAAAAAATGAGCAATTAGTTATTTGTCTGGTGTTAGGGGCCCACCACCCACCACAACCCCAACCACACTCCCCCCTCTCAATGCTACAGTAAACCGGGTCCCACATGAGATTTTAAAAAATTTAAAATCCCATGTGAGTCCCGGTTTACTGTAGCAATGAGAGGGGGGAGTGTGGTTGGGGTTGTGGTGGGTGGTGTGCCTCTAACATTATTTCAATAGAAATATAGAGAATCTATATGCCTCCTCAAATATTTTTAATGATTTTCAAAAGCAAAAACGTAATTCACTCGGGTAGTCTATCCACAACAAGTAAAATTACAGGGGTCTATTCCCAAAAAATAAAATAGCATGGAATAGAATCTCTCCGCAGTTGGGTGATACTGCATGGCATTTGTTCCCAATTAAAAAAAAAGTGATTTTTAAAAGAAAGGTCGATGAGTACCTTCCTACTTCATCTACCTTACTATCATCTTGGACTCAAAACTCATGTCTTGGGCCTGAGTCAAGTGATTACCAAAACACTAATCCTTTGCTTTTTCTAGTTTTGATCTCAAAAATTTTTACCGTCTTTGATTCTATTTATTCCTCTTGTCAATCCTCAGGAGGACTTGAAGCTGGAGCTCATCTCCTATTGGAGCAGTTCAGCCTCTCATCGTGCCAGAATCGCCCTCAATCTCAAAGGTACAAAAAAAAAAACTAACATTATCCACTGATTCTTGAGGATTTCAATTCTATTTCGTCTGGATTAAAGACCCAACTTGTTGCATTATGAAAAAACCTATCCTTGTCTGGAATTTCATTGATGGAAGTTTGTGCCCACATAAATGTTGGGAAAGATTGAGAAATCCCAGGATAATTTCCCCAACTAAATAAGACAAAAATAACCCCAAAGATTTTTAGCGTGGAAAACCCTCCAAAATGAGGAAAAAACCACGGGACCTGTAGGCCACTTAAAACTTCCACTAGAACAATAATGGGATTACACACTTCACCCTTAGGTCTTTCACAAAAACACAACTTCAATTTGGGGATAAAACTTCACAAATTGGCTTTCAATTTTTCTTCTCAGAAAAAACTCTCTCTATGTTTCTGAGGCTCTCACAATTTATTTTCTTTGAGTTTTCAATGATGATACTGAACGAGATATCATCAATTTATAGAGAAACGAATTACACATTTTTCCATGCGCGGGTCCCATGGAAGAAAAAATTTCTTTGGTCGGCTTGCTTTCGGTGGCCGAAAGCAGCTACCCCCCTCTTTCTTTATTTGATGGCCGCCCACGTGAGGTGGACCAACAAATCATTTTTTTTTCTAACAACATAACAACTTTCCATTGATTCGAGAATCTATATAATTCTACAAATTGAACTTGTCTGTAGTAAAACCGGTTGCCTCCTCCTACCCCATTTGGAGCAAAAAGGCATCAAAGTCAGACACCCATTCGTATAATCATACAACAAATTGTCGAAAAGAATGAACCAAACAATCATGAAAGGATTTACTTGCTTCCTTCGATTTCTTGAGGCCGCCACATTTTCTTCTCAATGCAAAGCAACCCCTCATTATCCTTGGGCATAGGTCATTCGAATCTCCCCGTGCAAAGATTTTGCCATGTTCTCAACGTCGTTTATGGTTTCTACGTTATCTCTTATAATTAGCTTTCCTTCTAGTCTCAATACTCTATTGACCTCAGCAATTACAGATAGTAGTTTGCACCTTGTTTGAGCTTGGAAAATAAACGGTCAGCATGGAGAAGGTCATATGTTCTCGGGTATGCGCTGAATGATTCACACCAATCATGATATATGCCAAACAAACCCCGCTCAAAAATAACAGGAAGGGTATCAGGGGCATCAATTAAAACAACATTCATAACCCACACTTGCATGTCCCTCAAAGCTGCAGCAAAACCTCCATAAATGGCTCTCATGTCCATGACATTTCTCACAGTAGACCAATCGATTCCCATTCCATTCAGATACGATTTGCTCACAACATGTTTCCAGTGTTCATAATCTGCTTCAAAGTCTTCAATGGCAGGTTTACCATAAACCCCTGTCTGAGAAGTGCTTAGCCAATAAGGTGCCTTTCCCAGCCTTTCCGGCCATTGCTCTGGCCATTGAGACCCACGAACAGAAGGATCTTCAGGCACTTTGTGAATGCATGCTTGAAGGGAAACATTCCAGCCATTGAGACCCACGAACAGAAGGATCTTCAGGCACTTTGTGAATGCATGCTTGAAGGGAAACATTCCAGGCAGCACTGGGATCATCAGATTCTTGGCAAAGTGGAGGACCGTTTTCCGATCTTGCTTCATAGAATTTGTTGTCTGTAGGTTTTCTGTAGATTGCTAGACCCACTTGGTTCAGGGAATCCTTTGTTTTCTTCACCATTTCCCAACACATTTGTTTTGTCAGCGCAGTCATTGCTTTCCATATCTCGACATTTTCTTGATCACTCCTATAAACTGGTGTTGCAGACCACACAAAATAACCACCAGGACATAATAACCGGTTAAGCTCCAACAAAAGCATACCACCTTCAATGTGCCATGGGACTCTACAGCGGGCACAATGAATAACATCGTAGACCCTCCCAGGGAAAGGAAGCCTTTTTGTTCCCATGACTGCTGATATAGCTGGAATTCCTCTTTCAAGAGCAAACTGTACTTGAGCTTCATGCTCTTCTTTAGGAGCAAATGACATGGTTAACACATCCCTATCAAAGAGATACCCACCAAAACTAGCAACTCCACAGCCAACACCCAAGACAACTCGGGTTCGTTTTCCCCATGCTATATCAGGGAATGACTCTTGAATTTTATCAATGTAGTGGAGTGCACCATTGATGAATTGAGTTCCACCTCCAGGAAATGTTAGATACTCTCCAGTAACTTTCACCCAATTCTGGTGCCCCTTTACCTCAGCGAGCTTGGTATGCGGCACATTATGGTACCAGATCTTGTCCCTGCTATTGGGCCACTGAATTGGCTTTTTTATATCCCTCCGGAAGCGGTACAAGGCATGTGGGTCCCTCTTCAGGGAAATGTCTTTCTCGGTGTTCATAATGCCCAGTAAGATGAAGTTTTTTAATAGCTTCTACATTGTCAAGACAAGGAATATAATCTGCTCCAGCTTCTGTGTTACAAAGTTTCCAATTGTATTCAGCATTTTGAACTTTTGATGAAGACTGCTGAACTTCATTCTCGTTTTTTAACTCAGCAGCTTGAGTTTTCCATGCTCCATTTGAGGTATCGGTCTCTTTCAAGATTTATGACTGGGCACCGTCAGGAAATATCTCTTCCTTTGCTTGATTCCCAGTTTGGTTCTCTTCAGACTTCTGTTCCTCCCCCTTGTCTTGATTCTCATCTGTCTTCGCTGATTCTTCACCATTCGCATTTCCTTCAGAATTCTGTTCTGAATTATTGTCTGGTCCATTCGTCTCACCGCTTTCTGTGTTTGTGTCTCCACCTTCATTATTACTCGTCTGCAATTCATCTGAATCATTTTTGTTATCATCAGAGTCTGTAGCGGGACTCTCCTCTTGGGTCGTCTCTTCAGACTTTTCAGTCTCTTCAGAATTGCTATTGCTATCTCCTGATGGGACTCTCCTCTTGGGTCGTCTCTTCAGACTTTTCAGTCTCTTCAGAATTGCTATTGCTATCTCCTGATGTATTATCAACAGTAGTATCTCCAGAATCCTCAGATGTCCTAGAAAAAATCAACAGTAACTTGTTCGGTCATTTCTGACTTATTATCTTCTGACGGAGTTATATCTACAGGAGCTACGGTAGACGACGTCATCATCCATACTCCCACTAAGCAGAGAGCGACAAGTACGACAATGGTTGTCGTTGAGCAGTAGGATGATGACTTCTTGACCATTCTCGGGCCTTTGCTAAATGACATCTCTCATGTACACAAAAAACTCCACTAGTACCTTACTTGAGCTGAAAACGAGATTAGATCCAGAGACGATAAGGGTTTGCTCTCTCTCACCGGTGGTCAAAATGTATTCAATCCGAGTTGTTCTTGGCTTGGCAGCTAGTCTCAATCTAGAAGTTGAACAACTTGACGTAAAAACCGCATTCTTACATGGTGATCTTGACGAGGAAATTTACATGGAGCAACCCGAAGGTTTCCAAGTCAAAGGGAAGGAGAAGATGATATGCAAACTGAAGAAGAGTTTGTATGGTCTGAAACATGCACCTAGGCAGTGGTACAAAAAGTTCGACTCATTCATGGAGAAAAATGAGTACAACCGAACGACGACTGATCACTGTGTCTTCATTAAGATGAAATTCTCTTATGGTGATTTTATCATTCTTTTGCTTTATGTTGATGACATGTTAAATGTAGGTCAAGACTTCGGCAAAATTAACAAGTTGAAGAAAGAATTGAGCAAGTCCTTTGCGATGAAGGACTTAGGACCTGCTAAGCAAATTCTTGGCATGACGATTACTCGCAACAGGCAAAATCGAAGAATCTGGCTATCTCAAGAACGGTATGTTGGAAAAGTTCTTGAAAGGTTCAACATGAGCAAAGCTAAACCTGTTAGTTCTCCACTGGCAAGTCACTTCAAGCTTAATGCGAGTCAATGTCCTTCAAGCGACGAGGAGAAATCAGAGATGAGCAAGGTGCCTTATGCATCAATGGTTGGCAGTCTTATGTACGCTATGGTATGCACCAGACCAGACATTGCTCATGCTGTTGGCGTTGTGAGCCGATTCCTATCAAATCCTAGAAAAGAACATTGGACAGCTGTCAAATGGATACTCAGGTATCTCAAAGGTACTTCCAGTCATTGCTTATGTTTTGGTAATGATAAACCTATATTAGAAGGATATACAGATTCAGATATGGCTGGCGACGTGGATACTAGAAAGTCTATATCCGGGTACCTAATAACATTTGCAGGGGGAGCTGTCTCATGCAATCACGATTACAAAAATGTATTGCCTTAAGCACCACAGAAGCAGAATACATCGCAATTACTGAAGGTTGCAAGGAGATACTATGGATGAAGAAGTTCCTACAAGAGTTGGGCCAGAACCAAGAAAATTATATTCTCTATTGCGACAGTCAGAGCGCAATTCATCTCAGCAAGAACCCGACCTTCCACTCAAGGTCCAAACACATCGACGTGAAGTATCATTAGATTCGTGATGTGTTGGAAAATAAACTACTGCAAGTTGAGAAGATTCACACCAATAACAACGAGACAGATATGATGACGAAGACTCTGCCTAGAGAAAAACTTGCTATCTGCAAAGAGATTGCTGGTGTGGAGGAGCCCTGTCCCACATGAGGTGAAGGGGAAGATTTGTTGGTCCACCTCACGTGGGCGACCATCAAATAAAGAAAGAGGGGGGCTGCTGCTTTCGGCCACCGAAAGCAAGCCGACCAAAGAAATTTTTTCTTCTATGGGACCCGCGCATGGAAAAATGCGTAATTCGTTTCTCTATAAATTGATGATATCTCGTTCAGTATCATCATTGAAAACTCAAAGAAAATAAATTGTGAGAGCCTCAGAAACACAGAAAGTTTTTTCTGAGAAGAAAAATCGAGAGTCAATTTGTGAAGTTTTATCCACAAATTGAAGTTGTGTTTTTGTGAGAGATCCACCTAAGGGTGAAGTGTGTAATCTCATTATTCTAGTAGAAATTTTAAGTGGCCTACAGGTCCCGTGGTTTTTTTCTCATTTTGGAGGGTTTTCCACGCTAAAAATATTTGGGGTTATTTTTGTCTTATTTAGTTGGGGAAATTATCCTGGGATTTCTCAATCTTTCCCAACAATAAAACCCTGATGCAATGTTTGCGTAAAGTTCCCAAATTTTGGATGAGTGATTTTTGAAATTTTTTAAAAGAAGAATATAGAACATTTCTCTTCTTTCTGTGATAAGCATTATGGAGGTATCAACTCATTATATACAAGCCTATAGAGCATGCTTTTACGGGTTGTATATGGAATACGAGGATGGATGTCGTGCTCTATATGGTAATGTGTTTACAGGTTATGCAAGAAAGAATATCAACCAATAGATGGTAATGTATATAGACACTCTCCCTCAAACTCAAGATGTCTTGTCGAAGAGCCTATGGAGTTTAGAAACCAAGTGCCTGAAGCGTTTTACAGGACGAGCTTAGCTAGTACATCTGCTATCTGGTATAGCAGCTTGAGAGTTTGTTTTTGAAAATGATGTCGAACAAAGTGACAATTGATTTCTATATGCTTTGTATATTCATGAAGGACATCATTGTGAGCTATTTGAGTAGCACTTTTACTGTCACTGAAGAGAGGAGTTGGATGAGACAGAATGCTGCCCATATCTTGAAGAAGCCTACACAGCCATATAATTTCAGCGGTGGGATGTGCCAGAGCTTGATACTCAGCCTCTGTACTTGAGCAAGGAACTACTGTTTGTTTTGTGCTTTTCCATGAAATGAGAGAGTCGCCAAGAAAGATGCAGCAGAATCCAGTGGTAGATCGGCAATCTGTAACATCACCAAGCCAATCTGCATTAGAAGAAGCTTGAAGATCGAGCGAAGAGGTGGATGAAAATAGGAGGCCTTGATGTAGTGTAGAGTGAATGTCCTGTAGGATGCGAAGGACTGCTGCAAAGTGAACAGAGTGAGGTTCAGCCACGAACTAACTAGCTATATGGACAGCGTGGCTGATATCTGGTCCAGTAATGGTGGGATAATTGAGACTTCCAACTAACTGCCGATAAAGAGTTAGATCCGAAAGTGGCTTTCTGTCAGTAGGTTGAAATTTAGTATTTAATTCAAGAGGAGTGTCTGCAGTTTTATTGTCAGTTAAGCCCACTCGAAGTAGTAGTTCAGAGGCATATTTGACTTGAGAAAGGAAATACCCTTGAGGTCAATAGACAACTTCTATCCCCAAGAAATATCAGAGAATGCCAATGTCCCTCATCTGAAAACATTTATTAAGATGACTTTTGATGTTCTGAATGCCATCCAAGGCATCTCCGGTGATGATCATATCATCAACATACAAAAGTAATAAAACAAGCCCTCTAGCGGAAGAATGAACGAAGATTGTTGTGTCATGAGAGTTCTGAGAGAAACGACATTGTATGATTGCGGTCCTAAATTTGTCAAACAAGCACGTGGTGCTTGTTTGAGATCATATAAAGCTCAATGAAGTTTACAGACTTGATGTGGTTGATGAGGAAAACCAGGAGGAGGTTTCATGTAAACTTCTTCTTGAAGATTGCCATTAAGGAAGGCATTTTTAACATCCATTTGATGTAGTCGCCATCCTCGAATAGCAGCCACTGTTAGAAGAGTTCGACAGTAGTCATGCGAGCAAGGGGGCAAATGTTTCATCATAATCTATCCCATACTCTTGTGCAAACCCTTTGACAACTAATCGAGCCTTATATATCTCAATAGATCCATCAGAACTAGTTTTTTTTTTGTAGACCCATCTACACCCCACTACGGATTTTCCAGGGGGTAGATCAACACGTTCCCAAGTATTGGTTTCCTGAGTGCAATGAGTTCATCATTCATGGCTTGTTTCCAGTGCAGACTGGAGGAAGCTTCTTGATATGATTGAGGCACGTGAAGTGAAAAGATGGTGGATATGTAGCAATGATAGTCACTGAGAAGCCCTGGGTAATGATGCTCGGGGATGTTGTTGGTTGTATCACTTTCTGGGCTTTTCGGGTTGACAAAGTTTGGAGCAAGTGTTGATCGGAACTGAACCAATCTCATTTCTTCTCGAAATTGGTAGTAAATAATTTCAGCATCAGTCATCCATTTGGGTGCCATAAGAGCCAGTTCCAGTTGATTCCAGATAACGGACAACTGAGAATGAAAATCTGATAGGGACTGGTCTTCTTGTTGCTTCATGGAACAAATATCCATTTCTAATTTATATCTATGAGCAAAATTGGTTTGATTGTACCTGTTGGATAAGAAGTCCCAAGCTTCTTTAGCATTCTCAAATTTTCCGAATAGCATACTAATAGATGGATTCACGGTGTTTGCAATCCATGTGAGTATTTTGTTATTATTGATCTCCCACTCATCAAAACTATTAGTAATAGTAGCCTTGTCTGGACATTTCTTTCCGCCAGTTACATACTTCCAGAGGCCCTTTCCTTTCATAAAACTTATCATGAGAAAGGACCAATGGCTGTAATTGTTCCCATCAAGATTAACAAGAATGGGCTGAGCATGTTCCTGGGCCATGACTCTTAGGTTGGGGTAGCAGACCACAACAGGGGCAGTTGTATTGAAACTGAAGACAACAGTGACCGATCTGGAAGATGTCAATTTCAGCTGAATCTCGAGGTTCAGGAGTTAGGACTGAAAATGTGCACTAATTTGCAGAGGAGATAAGACTGTTAAGATAGAGTTTGAAGCACCATATAGATGCTAGAGGAGGCCGGACTGATGGATCTCAGAAATTCATGGCTCTGATACCATGAAAATATTAAAAGAAGAAAATAGAACATTTCTCTTCTTTCTGTGATAAACATTATGGAGGTATCAACTCATTAGATACAAGTCTATAGAGCATGCTTTTACAGGTTGTATATGGAATACAAGGAAGGGTATCATGCTCTATATGGTAATGTGTTTACAGGTTGTAGAGGAAATACAAGGAAGGCTATCATGCTATAGATGGCAATATGTTTACAGGTTATAAAAGGAAGAATATCAACCAATAGATGGTCATGTATGTTGACAAAATTTTAATGGATTTTGATAAAAATGTGTTAATTTGTTTCTGTTAGGACTGGAATATGATTACATAGCTGTGAACCTTTCAAAGAATGAGCAGTCATGTCCAGGTCAGCGACAATAAATTTCAACTCTTGCTTATGTCAGTGTTTACTGTATTCATATCTATAAGTTTATTGCCTTAAAATTAGATATATTATCAGATAGCTTGTGTCCTATTTTGATTACTTGTAGAGTTTGAGAAGGTAAATCCAACCAAATATGTTCCTGCATTGGTGGATGGCGATTTTGCACTTGCTGATTCTTTTGCTATAATTCTGGTGTGTGAAAATTCTACTTACCTTTTAAATTGATTATTTCCTATGTAATATTTTCTCATTTGGTTTAGTTTGATATTGATAGTATTTGGAGGACAAGTACCCTGAACATCCATTGCTACCTCAAGATCTTCAGAAGAGAGCTCTAAATATCAAGGTATGAGTACAATGCTTATTGTTACATGTACTGTTTAGAATTACCAGTGAACCTTCTATATGAATTTCTTTTTTTAGATATCAAGCATTGTGACTCAAGCATACATCCTCTTTCGAATCTTCGTGCCCTGGTGAGTAAACACTACAAGGCTGTTTCTTTGTGTATTGATATGTGTTGGTAATGTCAGTACTAGGAGTTTAAATACATCCCATAGATTATCTAGGTTTTTTCTATGCTGCTTATTATCTGCAGAAAAGATTGGGGCAGAGTATCAATCTGGATGAGAAAATGGCATTTGCTCAGTCTAATATTGTCAAAGGCTTTACAGGTTGACTTTCCTAAGTAGTCAAAATTACCTTTCTCTAAAATTATCTTAAATATGTTTTAACATGATAATTTATCTAGAATGTTCTTCATACTGAGGTAAGGTTATAGAAAACTCTGGGCATGCTAGGCGTCAAACCGGAGCCTAGCGCCTAGGCGGATGCCTATACAGGGCCTAGATGGATTTTTTATTTATTTAAATGGTGGTGGAGGACTGGTTATGTTGAAGGTTGGAGTCGGTGGAGGAGCAAGAGTCAATGGAGGAGGCCGGAATATGTCAGAGGGGGTCGGAGGATGTGGAGGCAACGAGAGAAATCACGATCAAAGACCTAAACGGTGTAGTCCATGTAAGCATCCCATGCTACCCTAGGCACTTCCAAGATCTACGCTGGTGACCTAAGTAGCGCTTAGGCTTAGGTGGACGTCTAGACTGCTTTTTAAAACATTGGAGATGATGTGCCCAGACTTTTCAGAAAAGCTAACATGTTGTCTACATGTAAGCACTAGCAGGAGAAAAGTGTAACAATCTCAATTTTTCATCATTGTAATGTCTCATGTTTGGTTATAGGGTAACTTACATTGAAACCCATGAACATTTAGCGTTGTGCAACAAACTCAAACCCCGATGAACTTTCAAAATCGTACTAAACCCCCAATAACTTTTACAGAAAATCCTCAATGTCTTGTGGGTAAATTACACTAAACCCTCAATATCTTTTGGGTTTATCTGTTTATTTGGGGTTTTCTGCAAAACGGAAAAGTTATTAGGGGTTTAGTGTAATTTCAAAAGTTCATAGATGATTACTAAAAAACGCTAAAAGTCTATAGGGGTCTAGTGTAATTTACACTTGGTTATACAATACGATACTGTTGAGTGAAAAAAAAGAAATGTTCACCCTTGTTAGCTCATTAAGAATTACTATAGTTTAACATCTGGGTCTACTGGTATTTTCAAGGTGAATCATGTTGGAGTTGTGGTGTCTAATTGGACTGTGCAGGTTGACCCTCCAAAAATTATATGTTATGTAAAATTATAAACCTGTAATTTTTGTTGTGCGCAGCGAAAATTTTGGCAGCACATCGGCAGCACAACAAGAGAGTCAGGTCGCAATAGGAATTCTCGTTTCATCAAGGAAACAAGAATCATAAACAAAATATTTTAACAAAGTGGGATATCAGTTATTCCTCTCATCAGTTCTAGGACTGACCTGTTGAGGGAACCTAAATAAGCTATTACAAATCACACAAACAGCGAGAAAATTAATTTTACATGGTTCGGCAAATTGCCTACGTCCACGGGACAATGAGGGGGGAGATCTACTATTAGAGAGAGAGAATACAAATAGGGTTTACAGTCACATAACTTAAATCCCCAAACAAACTCTCAAATCTCACATAAATATCTCCTCCAATGGATGCTCAAAACCCTAAAAGGGGCCGCTCAAAAATCAGCCGACACCCTCTACCTGCACACTTGCACACGTTGACGACTGATTCTTTCTTCTGCCTTGCACGCACAAACTAGGGCACGAAAAAGCTATATTTATAGCGTCAAAATATTCGGGTGGGCCTGTACACCAAATCTCTTCAAGCGTGAACTCTTCACGCGGCTTTCACGAGCACATGAGTTGGCCCCACCACGCCATAACTCATTCACAATTCTCCAACTCTGCAAAGTTTCTTTCAAAACTGAACCGACACCAAAGCATCCAAATATCTCACTTGTTGTGTCTAGTACGTCGTGAAGTTAATTCACGACAACGGACTCAATCCACAACAAGTCGGGAACCCGAACGAGAGTCCAAACAATCTCACCCTCATCAAAATCAACTAATCCAAAACCGGCTGCATCAAACATGACTGCTTATGTATCCTCTTGCCCAAGGAATCAAGCCTCACGTAGTTCATCCAAATGGCCACCAACGGCCTTAACAATCACGAATATGCAACAAGTCTTTATAATGTTCAAACTTGTTGCTCGGAACCACCTTAGTGAGCATATCCGTCAGATTATCCTTCGTGTGGATTTTCACAATCTTCACATCGCATCTTCAAGAACATCCCAAACGAAGTGATAACGAACATCAATGTGCTTCGTTCTCACATGAAAAACCTAATTCTTCGCTAAATAGATAGTATTCATGCTATCACAATGAATGGTGACGGACCGTTGCGATATACCAAGTTCCTCCAAAAGCCCCTGAAGCCAAATAGCCTCCTTCACAGCCTCCGTAATCGTCATATACTCTACCCCCGTCGTAGACAAAGCCATCGTAGACTGTAAGGTGCATCTCCAACACACCGACGCACAGGTCAAAGTAAACATACCCCATAGTAGACCGGCGTTTATCCAAATCCCCGACATAATCCAAATCAATATAGCCAATGCACAACTGCCTACCTGTAGTGTCCCGCTCATAAACTAAACCAACATTGAGCGTGCCTCTAATGTACCTCAAAATCCATCTCACGGCGTCCCAATAATTCACTACTGGATCGTGCATGTATCTCGAAACCATGCTCACCGCCTGTGATAAATTTGATCTCGTACATACCATCGCGTACATCAAGCTCCCAAGATTATCGATAGCGGATAGCGTCGCGTAACGGTGAGACATCGCTAAGGCTATTTCGGACTATTGCGATAAAATAGCGGTAAAAAGCGTAAAGTCAAATAGCGGTCTAATTTAGATATGTATAAACACTAAAAAAATTTAAAGAAAGATCTAAGAAATCTAAAGTACATATTGGATGATTTAAAGAGCTCCTAAACATGAAATAGACATGTAACCATCACGTAATACCGAAGATGACTGGACGAGTCAAAAAGTCGTCGTCTTCGAGAAGAAGAGCTTAGTGGTGACAGGACTGCCCTAAGAGGAGCTCACGATAAAGAAGGTGAGAGGAAGTATCAAGGTAGGTGTCAGAGGCTATGAGAGGTGGTGGGAGTATGCTGAAAATCACAGGAGACGGTGGAATGTAATGGTCAATGGTTGAGTTTAATTTTAAAAAAATAAGCCTCAAATTGCTTTTAAATAGCAGTCAAAAAGCAAATTTCGAATGCAATCGCTCACTATTTACCGTTATGACACACTATTAGCCGTTTTTGCGAACAGACATATTCCGTAATATGTCACCGCTATTGCGCGATAGCGTAGCGGGCGATAGCGTCGCGGGAAGGGACCGTTAACGCTTTTAGCGCTGCTATTACGGGCTATTTACCACTATTTATAACAGTGCTCCCAACCGCGCTTGCATATGGAGTCTTCGACATCAAATCTCGATCTTTAACTGTCTTTGGTGAAAGATCAGCTAAAAGTTTCAAATGGACTCCTAAAGGTACACTAACTAGCTTCGTATCCATGCTAACATGAAATCATTGTAGAACCTTCTTTAAATAAGTCATCTGTGTCAAACAAATTCTGCCATTTTTCTTGTCTCTGTCGATCTCCATCCCTAAAATACGTTTCGTCTCACCCAAATCTTTCATATCAAACTCTTTTGAAAGCTGTGCCTTCAACTCATCTATAGCAGATCTGGAAATAGAGGCAACCAACATGTCATCGATATAAAGTAACAAATAGATGTACGCACCTCCTTTTAACTTACGAAAATATACGCAATGATCAAACTAGCTCCAAGTGTACGAATGATCAATCATAAAACCATCGAATCGCCTATACCACTGTCGAGGAGACTACTTAAAACCGTATAGCGATTTCTTCAATCTGTAAACCAATTTTTTTTCCCTACCCTATACCATTATCGAGGAGACTGCTTCAAACCGTATAGTGATTTCTTCAATATGCAAACCAATTTTTCTTTTCCTACAGTTCGGAATCCCAATGACTGAGTCATATATATTTCTTCATCAAGATCACCATGAAGAAATACCGTCTTCACATCCAACTGATCAAACTCCAAATCATACTGTGCCACCAAAGCTAGCAAAATTCGAATCGAAGAATGCTTTACCACCGGAGAGAAAACCTCATTATAATCTATTCCTTCCTCCTGTGCATAGACCTTCACAACCAACTTAGCATTGAACCTCAATGGAGTGCCTTTAATGCTCTCCTTCTTCATGTATACCCACTTACAACCAATTGTCTTTCACCCCTTTGGAAGTTCAACAAGCTCCCACGTATCATTTTTGTGAAGAGACTCCATCTCCTCCTGCATAGCTACCTGTCACGAATCAACCTTCGAACTTTACTCGGCCTCTCTGAATGTAGTAGGCACTAACTCATCGATACTCTCCACCGGAAGTGTATATGCAACTACTGTATCGGTATACCGTGCTGACATCCGTATGTCTCTCATCTGTCTTCGAACTCTGCTCAACAAGCTCCCACGTATCATTCTTGTGAAGAGACTCCATCTCCTCCTGCATAGCTACCTGTCACGAATCAGCCTCCTAACTCTGTTCGGCCTCTCTGAATGTAGTAGGCACCAACTCATCAATACTCTCCACCGGAAGTGCATATGCAACTACTGTATCGGTATACCGTATTGGCATCTGTATGTCTCTTCTCGTTCTCCAAACCGCAATAGAATCCTGAACCTAAGCCGTCGGTCCCTGATCCTACACATCAGTATCCGTATCCTCCGTATCACCGTCGTGCTCGCCTGACGTCACCTCAGTCAGCACTCTAATGGATACTGCATCATCTGGACACTGTGAAGCTACATCGATCTCCACCACCTGCGATATCTCCTCTGTCGGGTCGCTCTCCACCTGATGAGAGCTGAGAAGCTTCAAAATAGAAGCCTCATCGAACGTGACGTCCCTACTCAGCACAATCTTCCTATCAACTGGATCCCATAGCTTGTATCCCTTAACACCACGCTTGAATCCTACAAATATGACATTCCTAGTTCGAGGTTCTAATTTATCTGTTCTCACATGATAAAATGCAGGGAACCCGAAAACTTTGAACTGGTCATAATCGTGTGCTGGCTCTCCTGACCACTTCTCCATAGGGGTCTTCCCCTCAATCGCAG